CAGACTGAATCCTTGGGCCAGGGTGGAAGGAAGTTCATTGGACATTGGGGCAGGGAGGAATGCATGATTCACCCTGCAGCATCCTCCCTCTGCCAGATGCTTGCTGCAAAGTAAACACACTCTGGAGAATTTCAGTGCAGCCCTTTCTSAGAAAACAAGGGGCTTTTACAGTCTATATGTGTGGGTGAAGGTATAAAATGACTGGCTGGATTCCATGGCTCCCAGATCAAAGCAATCACGGCGTATGACGATGCTGGAACTGCCTCTAAGGCTGAGATTTGCTAAAATGACTCATAGTTTTGAGTTTCCTATTAGGGACACCAGTGAGAACACTGATATTTTGGGTGCTTACCTCTGTCCTTGGACATAGTATTTTTTTTTATTTTATTATTTACATTTACACTTTATTTTATTATTTACATTTACATATTATTTACACCATAAAATAACGGATTTTGTCTGATGTTGGGGTGGAAGGAACAGTCCCTGCTGGGATTGATTACACCATAAATGGCCCTCTCCATCTAAATCAGCCTTCTGTGTCAGCAAGCCACTGGGTGAACCTTCTCGTTTGCTTTCTTTGCTAATGAGCTTCATTTCTCATTAAGGTGTTCTCTGTTCATGGCCATTTTCATATGAAAACATTTTTGCTTTAGCAAACAATTGTTTGTGCAGCTATACTCCCRAGTGGGATTAAGTCTTAGTGTGGCTGCTTTCTTTGCTCAATCATCTGTTATTATTTCTGATCCCTGCTCTGGATGAGCACATGGTGAGTGTAATAATAAGTGAGGAGAGAATATGGTCAGGCTGTGGGGAGCAGGCTCTGGAGCCAAGGCTGGCTGTGTTGGCAGGAACAGGGAATTTTAATTGATATTTTAAACCTTTCCTTTGGCCAATTTCAGACCCTCTGAGATGTTAATGTAATATTAGRCAACTGTGTTATTGTTGACCTGATTAAATTGAAAATAAATTTCCTCTCATTGAGATCACATGAAGCAGGCAAGTGTCCCACACGTCCTTCCTTCCCGTGAAGAATGTGAATCAGTCATTATGTGGTTTTCTTAAACATCTCTGTGCTAGGAATCCACCTGGGAATTTCAGGCAGTTACAGCTGAAAAATACTTGATTGTGTACATTTTATTATCTCGTTTAACTATGTTTCAGCAGAACTATGGCCTGGAGGTTTGTAAACCTCCAAAAGTCACAGTGTTAAGTAACATTTGCAGTTTATCTGAAGAATGTGCTGCTGGAGCTGACTGCTTGTCCAGGATTCTGTGGTTGGATAAGGAGCTCCTGGAGAAGCTGTGTGGCTTTTTTCACTGGTTTRTAGTAAGGAGAAAGAGGTGTCTCACTGACTGGTGGTTACCTCTCTAACAGAGTGTGGTGATGCTGAATSAATGTTTTTTATTTGTTCTCCCAGGTGGAAAGGGGGTGGGTTCAGTTCCCACTAAAGGGAGCTGTAGGATTTTTCTGGGAAAGAGAAGAACAGGATGGAGAGGCGATGGCACAGCACAGTCACTACAGTGGGAATTAACTGAATCTCAGGGACAGACAGACAGACAGACAGACAGGGATTTACATTCCAGAAACAATCACCTGACAGTGACTAATGGAGGAGATGACTGGGGAATGAGGGCTCAGAGGTGGGAGAACAGCAGGGTTATTCTTCAAGGAAATGAAGGCAGCTCCCTATTCCTGCCCAGACTCAATCACACCCACAGCTCCTCCCCGTCTCGCTCTGCCACAGCCATGCACTCACATGTAAGCCTTGTAGTTGTTGCCAATTTTCTGGATTCGGATGTCATACTTGGAGTCGATGAAGGGCTCGCTGGTGGCGTAGGTTTTTGCCATGGCTACGATGCTGGCCATGTCCCTGAAGTCATGCTGGTTCTCAACTTTGACCTTGATCATCCAAATCCAGGGAAAAAGAGACAAAAGCAAAAAGAACATGAATGCTTTGTGAGCAGGAGTCATCTGTGCACCTGAGCAGCACAATTTCAGTTAAACCCCACACAGACACCGTGAGGACAGACAGGGATTCTGTCATTTACAGAGATTTGCTCCCCAGAGCAAACCAACCCAGAGCAAATCAGCCCCATTCCCTTCCTGGTGCACCTGATGCAGACACACCTTTGCCCAAATGGCTCTTGTTAATGCCCTTTGCTTTTATGATGCTGCAGAAAAATATTTAATCTCTTAAGAGGCATTTCATTCAAACTTTGGAACTGCTATTTCCCATGTTGGGATGGATGAAAACAGAGCATTTTGGGTGGTCAGGAAGCACAAACCAATGCTGGGAAATCAACCTGAGCTCTGGTTGTCTGCCACCTCTTAGGATTCATTTTCCTGGCATTTCCCATTGCCCCCCTCCAGGCTTTCTCTGAGGAGTGGTGCAGGTCTTTGGCTGGACAAAAGCTCTGAAGGAAAAGGGTTTCTCTTGGGGAGATTTGTGTGTGTGRAGCAGTGGATATGTGAGTAGGACAGCTGGCTGGGTGTCTGACTTGAGTCATTTGGAAACGAGAGAATTGGCCTATGAGTGACAGTGCTGAGAAAATGGCTTTTCACAGATCTGTATTCAGTTATGGGGAATGCTCTGTATCTTATAAAATAACAGTGGAACGAGGAAGGACCAAACCAGCAGAARTTTTAATGATACAATCAAACTCTGCAAAAGCTCATTGATTTGGGAAAACAAAATTGAACCAGCAGGTAACAAGAACATAGTGGACAACTTCACCTCACTCACACYTTTGACTGTGGCCCTTAATGTATTGGCAAATTCTTGTGAGGTGCATCAGAGAAACCTGTACAAGCCTTGTTCCTTAGGGCTGGACATGTGCAGGAAGGGTGGATTAATTTGTGGAAAAAAGATCAAGACTGTATGAAAAGGATGAGCAAGTGAGTGACTTTCTTGACGTTATTGCCAACCTATTTGTATTTTGGAAATGCTTTGAGACCACAGCTGGGGATTGCAAACCTTGTTTTGCCAGGGCTGGTGGCAATCCATGGGCTGTTCCCCAGCAGAGTTTCCCAGTTTGATCACTGTGTTAAAGGAGGGTGATGGCAGACTCTGCGGAGCCAGCCCAAGGAAAACCCTGCAATGGTATTTGGTGTTTCTTCACCAAGAACAAACACGTGGCATTACATATCTGCCTTCAGCTGGGGAGG